AATGCTGTTATATCTAAGGAGTGTGAATAATGTATTTCTTCACACATGAAAGCTTCACAGGGATGAGCTCGGTTAAATGAAGATAGAAGCAAACATCTTAATTTTCAGCCAACAGTAGCTTCTCTTGTATAGCATTCTGTTGTTGACTGAATCCCAAACTATATTCTCAAACTAAAAAGGAAATTTCAACATGGTTATATTTTTCTACTCTGTTTGTATTCTTCTAAACATGAACATGGAAGTTTCAAGGGTTTCCACTGCTCCAGTACAGGAGCAGCATATATCACAATTTAAGAGAGTGAAAATGTTTGCCTTAATTTTAACTATCCAGTCAGAAGTAAATACCAACGTTCAAGCACAATGTGCCGGACATTTTAAAGAAGTAAAATTACTCAAATTCATTGACCAAATGAATCACTGTAAGACATACCTTGAGGTCTAATCTCAGATTTTCAGTGGAAGGAAATAATCACTTCTTTTTTAACAGTTGTAAGGAATAAAATTTCTAAACCAGTAAAACCAGATGTCTCTTTAGCCTCTTCTAGCTCAGATGCTATGTGTTTGGTTTCCTCCTTGTAGAGTCAAATTTCTGTTTCAGTTACGTTCCCTGCTTTTATGTTGTGTTTTGCCCTGAAAAAGTGGTAGTGAGCAATACCACCTAAGTCCCTTGCATACTAAGGAATTTTGCTATTTCAGGTGCTAAAGCCTCTCTCCCTCAGATGAATGCTCTCATCTTTAGACTGGAGAGCTGTATTATTTCTCTTGCTAATGAAATAAATGCTAGAGGCAGAACTTCAACTAGAGGAGGAAAGTGTGTTGTAGCATCTTAAAACTGTCCCAAACACCTCACGGAAGGTCATCAGGCTTGCCTTCTGCATGTGGCAGATACAGGGCTAAGGTACTAAACTGAAGCACAGTAAACTACTGGAATCTCACCACTACTGTTTAAAGCAGGGTTGAAGAGTAGCTTCTCTACCAGCTGTGCTGGAAAAAGAAAATAAGTGGTCCTTTTCCTGCTTTACCGACATTTTGAAAGACATCTTTTGCAAGGACCCCATACTCATAAGAGAGATCTCCATTAATGTATTCATTTGATATAGGTATCATTCTACTTGTAGTGCTGGATCCTAAGAGGGACCCTTGCACTTCACAATCTCGTGTTGAGAGGCTCTTCAATGGTGGCTGCAACCAACATCATTTTTAAAGGTTCCACAACCCCCTTTCAGGAAGCATAACTCCAAGCATCTGATTCTGCCCTGTGAGCCACGCATCAAAAAATGCTCTGCAACACCTAAGTCACTTTAGAAATTCAAGTCTTCAGAGCCTTTGACTTCCACCTTCATGCATAGAGGCTAATGCTGCAGATCACATGTAAGTTGTTTTTTTCAGTAATTCCATTAGAAAATCTGCAGTGCTATAGTTGGAAATCTAATGGCTTTTTCAAATAGTGCTGGAAACACAAAAAGGACCTCTCGCTTTGTGCTATCAATTACCATTATTTTACTTGGTGAACATGGAAATTATTTGCACAGTAAAGAACATATTACAAAATACAAACGCTATCTGATTATTGTGATTATTTCACTTCCTTACAGTGAAGAGTAAATGGTAATTAATTTCTGGGCCTACTAGAATAACTATAATTACTAAAAACCACAGTAACCATAGGCATATGCTGGTAAAATAGTTAGATGTTACTGTATTTATTACCCGACACTTTATCCATAATTAAATGCAAAACATTTCAAAAGAACTTCTAAAAAGTCATAGATTAAATATGTGACCAAAAAAAGTTATGAACTTTAGCAACTCTTCAGTACTATTAATTGTATACTCTGTGTTATTGAACTAAGTGCAGCAACTGCCAGGGAATCAAAAACCTTCTTTACATGATTTACCGCCTGTGCATTTATGTGGTATTTAATACCACATTTTAATTTAATATTACCCTAATTTTCTATTGATTAAAATCTTGGAACGCAAGCCTTATTCCATAGTCTCTACAGTTTTGAAGAATTTGTGTTCCTTCCAACATGCACTGCTTGTGAATTAGCTCATTGTATGGAAAATCTCATCTTCCGGAATAAGGTTTCTGGGAGGGGATGGGTGGAAAAGTTGTAAATTAGCCTTTATTTTTATTCTCATAGATGAACTCAAATTATATCTGTATATAAAAATATCTCTGAGCTCTCTGGAACACTTTTCTTTGTGCTCTGGCTGTGCAAGATCAGGGTTTCTGCAATATATCAGTCAATTACTTGCTTCTGTTTCAGAAGAGGGAAGGGCAAAAGCAAGAACTTACAGAGTCATTGCTGATACGGGGTGGAACAGGTAAGGTTACATATGGTTTCTGTACTTGTCATCAGGTTTTCTCACCAGTTGTCAGAGAAGTCTATGGAAAGATGAGTAGCATGAATTTCCCCATCTTTGTGGGGAAACAAGCTCTGAGGGATTCCTATAGGTTCTGAGGTGGCTGTTTGTAGCAAATTCTCAAACAGCTGTTAAGGGCATCAAACTGAGCAAAACACTTGATCAATGAGAAAGAATACAAATGGATGTGATTTCTGCATGTATCTTGTACTTACCTGCTTGCCCTTTACACTTTAGCTAGTTATTGTCTCTAACATGCTGTAAGAGGCAGAAGCATGACTCAAACACCATGCTAATTAAATTCTGATTGTAGAATCACCATTGTTTTCTTGGCAGAAAAGCAGGAAAACAGCCATTGCTTTACTTTCAGGTTTCAGCCTAAATTGGTTTAAACTGAGCAATGGTGCTATGAGGTACCTCTGATTCAGCAGGGATCTGAACATTCCTGAGAGAAAATTGACATACCTCTACAAATGTTGTTACTGTGAAACACAAGCCAGTTTTATGTCCCCTGAGCTATTACTAGTAGTCTTTGTAATGTTCTTTCAATGTAAGTATACAGGAAAAGAGTCTTGCTCATATTCTCGTTACATTCAGGATGTGAGACTGTTCGGAGACTAGCAACTGGTAAATTCTGGGGTGGGGGACTGAACAAGTCCTGCAATCTTAAAAAAAAAGAAAGAAATAAACCCATGTCTCTTCTTTGCAAGTTGTGCCCCTATTTATCAGCTCACTGTCAACCTCTATTGTGTAATTACATTATCTGTTGCAGCTATTTTTCAAAACTCTGCAGTTCCTTTGGAGAAACACATTGCTTTAACTTAGTACCTATTCTCCTTCTCTGCACTGCTGTGATGCTTTTATACATTATACTCGTTATATGCTGGCAACCACAATCTTCTGCTACCAAGAATGGCCCCATTGAAAGGCTAAGATGAATCTTCAGATGGCTCCTTAAATTTATTCCTTTCCTCTCTTGCTGTGGCTAGTAAGCTTGTGTTTTGTTGTTTGTTTGTTTTTTTTCTGATGCCTCCTTTCTCAATCCTGTTGGAAATGATGAAGACACAGGGTAGGTAGCTCTGCAGGGTGACAGCTTTTTAACACTGAATAATCGACTGATGTGCAAGCTAATAGGTAATGCTAGGTTTGATTAACTAATTTTGCAAATGAATATCTAAGTAAATTACTTTTGCAGACTGTTTCCAATGATTCTTTCTCTTTAATTGCCTCTTTGAATAGCTTCATACTGATTGTTGCTGCTGATGCTAAGAATTCATATAAAACCCTTGGGTATATATTTCTTAGTAAATATATCTGGTATCACCTTACACAGGAAAACCCATCCCATCACACACATATTACTTAAAGGTACATAGTCATAGCTTCAAGCTCACATTTTTCCCAGAAGTTTCAAAGCCATATAGAAATGCAGTTTCCCTTCATGCTCAGTTTGTGGCTGGTTTTAAAAGACACTCAGATACTTATGTAACTGGGTATGCCTCTAAAGGATTTTTAAAGATTACAAAGACAGACAGAGATATTTTAATTGCAAACACACATCTGATTAGCCCAAATTGTCTTTGAAAAATCCTGCATGCTTATATGGCTATGGAGATCTGATCCTTTTGCAGAGCTAATACAAGACAGGGACTAACAAAGAGAGACCTTTTTTTTTATCTTTCTCTTACTTGAAAGTAAAATATTCTCCTTTAAACCAAAGTATCATGCACTATACAAACGGACACAGTGCAAATACTTCCACACACACATTCCACATAATCAGAAAATCCGTTATTCTTTTTCAAGAAGTTGTGGTCTTAACCTATACTTTGCACTTATTTCATTGTCCATAGATCACTACATACTTAAATATTTGTATTTTCAGTAATTTAATATTTCAATAATTTAATATTTATATCTTATTTAATATTTCTTCTTGCCTTTAAAAGATAAACTTCCTACACTATCCATGGCCCATGTTGCCTTGTCTCAGCTGAATAAACCTGTGTCTGGACAGTCTTACATATAAGCTGTCAAACCACTGCAGTGCTGCTAACACTCAAGTCATCCCCTATCATATAATCTGCTCTCTGAAACCTTACATGAGCTTCTCCATGTATTCCTGAATCACATTAATTTCCAAGTCTTCCTCCTTAAATACTGCATAACATTTCCCTAATAACACATTATTACATCTCCTTCCTTCCTTCTCTGTCCTTCTGTCTCTAATCTCTCTCACTTTTTTAATAACTTAGCACTTCTCTTCTCTTATCCTGACATAGGTCTCATGTTTAAAGTGCCAGTGTGCTGTCACTCATCTTTCTGTCTTTAAAGTCCTCCTTGAAACCCATCTTCTGACCTTCTAGCATAGAATTATCTGACAATAACTTAAGAAGAGTGAGCAGAGGCTACGTGGGTGTCCCCTCCACCTACTCATACATGCAAAGTCAAATAATTCATTCTGAAACCTCATAGATATTTTTAAATGATGGTCAGCAACCTCTGCTTCCTCCTGTACCATTCTGTGAAACAGGGCACTGCAGAGAGGGGCAGGCAGGAGAGGAAGAGCAAGCCAGCTGTATTGTTTCTCAGTAGGAGAAATGTGAGATACACATTTCAGTTCCACTTACCGGTTCCTATTGCTAGAAATCCAATCCGAGATTAAAGTTGCAGCCTGCTGGTGACAGTGTTTGTTACCAAAGCTGCAGGCCAACATGATGACTTCCCGACGCAGCTCTCTGTCCAAATTAAAGAAAGCAACAAAGCTGCATTAACGAATGTGTTTGAATGTTTACAAAAACTATTTCTTATAACAGTGACAACAACTGGCAGTTGGGCAACATATCAAACATAATCTGCTTTACAAATCTCAGTTTCAACTTTACGCTTTCAGCTGCAGCAATAATTAAAGGAAGGTCATGGACCAAAACCAGCCCCCATTTACACTTAGGCACTTTTCCTAACCTCCATAGTCACTTTAGTCCAAGTTCTTAAATATCCAGTGCAGTCAGATATCACAGCTTAGGAAATCATGTTCTCCCAATTTAGGAAAGAAGAATTAATCTCACAGCATCTTTCTGCTCTCCCTCTAACTCAGAAAGCAAAAACAGAAGGGCAACAGAGCTAGGGCATTATGATATGTTGAAGGTGACACTAAATTTTAGGAGGGTGCAATAGTTCAACTACATTCCACAAATTCACAAAACAAAAAAAAGAAATATAACAGTACTCATGTTGGTAGGATGCTTGAACAAGTGATTTGTTTAAATTGTTCATTGGCCATCCAAGCTTCAGATACATTGATGCAACTTGTCTTAAAATATACTCCTGAGGGGAAGAAGAAAAATATATTTAATGTTAACCATCATGGGGTTTTTTACCTGAAATTGAAATACTACTGACTATTGAGGTTTAATCCTTTTACCCTCAAAAAATAATGTCCAACTCCAAAGATTTTGATTTGCATTTAGCAAAGCAACTGTCCACTTATAATCCCCCTTCACTGCTATAGTAAGAATCAATCTGTAGAACAGCTATTTGATTAGATGCCTAGTTTAAGACAATTTATTGTTAAAAAACCCATCAATTTCAAAAGTTTATTACATGCTATTTTGCACTCACAATACACAGCTGAAAAACTGCAAGAGTGTCAATAGCTTAATTTTTACTCTATGGCCAATCTGGACTACATCTTGAATGTTCATTTTTAAAAGAACATTGTTTTAATATCCATAGCCATAGCAAAACCATTATCTGCGTACAGTCAATTGCCTTTGGAATAAATACAATGTGGCTGCAAATAAGCTCTGTACACTTAATGACACTATGCTATAAGTTTCCATTCCCAGTGTGCTTAAAGAACAAAATAAACCCAAGATCTATTTTAGTGAATTCTACTTTTTACACAAGAGACATACACATTCTGACCACTTTTGAAGAAAACCACTGTCACTGTATTCAGCATAATTTTTTGCCAGTGAAATTCAACAATTTGAAAAAGAGAACTGAGATATACAGAACTGCATATGAGAGCATCTATTTTATCACTGCAGATGCATAGTCATGTATATATGACAACACAAAAGATTCATAGTTCAGCTTTCTCTAGAAGATACATTATTCTGTGACTAAAAAGACTTTTTATTTCCTCTGCTATCACCTCTGCTTTCAAAACTCCTATCAGTAGTGATAAAACATAACCTAGTTGTGAATTTTATTGGGTTTATTTATTAAAATTGTGTTTTCTTTACACTACTCTGTTTAAAAGTGAAACAGACTCCTAACATTTTTTGTGTGCAGTTAACAACAGACTAAATATGCATATCATTTCAACATCATTTTGCATTATGGTTCTGGTTTGCACATAGATCTACACTGTAGGTTCATAAAAATTTCAGTGTGTCCTTATTAATCTGTAGTATATGTTCTACAAAAATAATTTTCCATGTCTTCAGGTAACTCTGTGTATATGTGTATGTGTGCGCATGTGTGTATACTTGGTGATCCCTGTGGGTTCCTTCCAACTCAACATACTCTGTGATTCGGTGATATATATGTATGTACTTCTACATACATACATAAATCCAGCTACTTCTAACTTCCTGCGCTCTGAGCATGTTGTGTACGGTCACACACGCACAAACAAATATACATTCAACAAGAAGCATCCTTAAGCATTTCAGGCTTTAAAAAGCTCCTCCTCATTTGAAGTCTTTACAACATTACATAAAGTTACCGTATGTTGGCCATTGAAAATATGTAGACTACATAAAATTCATAGTGAATAAAAACCCAAGAGGTCGTAATAGTTACTGGCTGCAGTCGAACCTCGTGTACTTCATAAACCATGCTTCAGTGTAGCTATGATTTTTTTTACCATTTCAGATAACATGTTAAAATATTTGTCATGTCTATCTTAATTATCTACTGTGAATTGTTACTCATGTCCCTTCGGATGCAATTATGAATGGGCTTTGACTCAGTGGTGATCTAAGTCTTGTTAATTAAGGGAACTGCATTCAATTCACTATGGATTTTTTGATGAAATAATGCCTACAAATCTTTGCTTCAGTTGCATGTGTTCTGTTCAGCTGTGCCTGCATTTGGTGTTGCTGAGCCTGGGCATCAACCTAAATATCACTGTGGGGCTCCTCAAAAGAGAAAATCTGGAAATAGAATACTTTGGCTCTTCTAAGTGAAATACTTTGTCATAACATTTTACAAGAGGGATAATTACCTTTCCCTCTACTAATCATATGTGCCTTAAACAACAGTTATCACTGTTCAAATGCAAATGCACCAAAGCTTGATAATTGCTATGTTTAAATAAAGAATAATTAGGAAGAAAGTTAATATCCCTAGGTCATTTACAGTATCTGAATGGGGAAACACGGTTCAAGTCTTGACGATAAAAGGAGAGAGTGAGAGGAGAAAGGAAGAAAAAGAAAGGAAGGAGGAACAGACTGATGAAAAGAGAGAGGGGAAGAAAGAGAGAAAGAACTAGAGGAATAAAGAGAGGAAGATTGTACGTCTTACATTGAAGATGTTGTAGTTTTCTGTGCGGTCCAGCAATTTATCTAGAGGATATAGAGCTCGGCTGGCAGCGTGCCAAGGCAGAAAATCTTTTTCCTCTGAAAGGTATCTGATAATCTCCAAAGGAATATTCTGAGGCAAATAACCAGCTCTGCACAATAAAAGAAGTTAGTATGAAATTGGTTTCCAGAAGATACACAATGAGGCAAAACTTACTTTTTTTTTTCCCAAATGAAATTAAAATGCATAAAAACATAATAAACTTATCACACTTCAATGATATAAAAGTCAACCTTATAAAAATCAGCAACTTGCAGTCTCTTTCAATGCACGCAAGCATAGTGAGTTGATGAAGCAAGGCATGAACACACATTAAAGAAAACCAGACAAGCTATCCCTACTTTGTAGGGATACCTGTGGCTGTAAAAGACATGAACAAAAAGTAACTGCTTTTAAGAGAAAAAAAAAACCTACAAAACAAAACTAATGAAAGGTGTTGCTTTTCTGAATTGTAAGATAGAAAGCTGTCTGCATAAAATGAACAACCCAAGGCATTTTTCTTCAGAGAACATTTTTACTGGCTGCGGGCACTTGGAAAGAACTACTGGTGAAGAAGCAGCTTGAGTTTTAGTTATTCTCCTGACTCATTTCTCTCTCCTTTGGCGCTGCCTTGTCTTCTACCATCTTAAGTCACTTTGGAATGATTTATCCAGTGGCATCACTTTGGTTAAGGATGTTTCAGCACTTTCCACGATTTGTGGAAATAACTATGTTTTTTCCAGATGTTTATAAGTCAACTAGCTAGAATTATGCCCCACTCTTTTACAACCACAAAAGAGCTCTCTCTGAAAGGGAAAGAGTTTAGGAGGGGGTCAGGAAGGCTTCTTAAATTAATAGCATTGCAAGTAAAATGCAATACAGACACAAGCATACTTTTAGAAACAGAGTACAGAAAATATCAAGCTTTAGGTTTTGCTCTCATTTCATTTTTCAGGACAGCATTTTTTTTTCTTAACTATCCAAATTGCAAAAACAAAGTACAACCCTGTAGGTGTGAACTTTCCAGAAACACATGGTCTATTCTTCACCTGATGCATGTGTTTAAATCCCAAAGGAGTCATCTATCTGCCAAGACAGGAGATAATGATTCTGTTTTCATTAAAAACCTAAAGTCAGCAAGCTGGTTTCCAGAAACCTCAATATAACATGGGCTGCACTATTATATAGCTTCATAGACTAGTTTTTCTCCTTAGTTGTAAATATTCCTTTAATTTCCATCAATATCTGGGGAAGAAATGCATGCTTACAGTAAACAAATAAAACTACACTTATTATTTCAGAAATTGACCCATATAAACTTGTTAATATAAATTTTTATCCCAGTTGTAATTGTATATAAAAACTACCTTGATGAAATACTTGAAATAGATTGTGCACTGCATCTCGCAGGCTTTTGTTTTTCACACTCTCTATTGGAAGAATTACACTTTGTTCCCTTCATATTCTCAGCAAAGGATTTCATGTGATAGTTTTCAAAAGTATCTATCCTATGTCATTATGATGATCCACTCTCCAGTCTGTTTCATGTCATATTTGTCCACATTTTGTCAGCTCTGTTTTCAAGTCCAGTTACAGCACATACTCAAGCAAGAAAAACAAGATCACTTGGGGAGTTCACTGTGTCAACTGAGGAACTCAGTAGATATGAAATGACAGTGGTGAAGCTTTTAGAGTAGGTGGTGGACAAAGTTCAATACATCTGAAGACAGGTTACTCCATTTTATAGGTCTCTCTTATTTCTGAAGCAATGGAATATCAGTAACATGAGTTCTAGGTCATAATACTCTGTAAAGATTTGTAAACATAATTAATGGAGCCAGAAGCGTGCTGGACTGACTGCAGTTAAAAATCTCGGAGATAATGCTAGCAAAGAGGTAAACTAGCTTGAAGTTGCATACATATAATCAGTTCCTAATGGGATTTGTGATTATTTTTACTCATAATTTGATTGACATGGAAAAGTGTAGAGTAAGGAACAAGAGGAATAGCTCTAGGAAACATGTTGCTTAAGGAATAAACAGATTAATGCTTATTAGAACTGCACTAATGGACATTTAGGTTCATGTTCCGAAATTAAATCTAACAATACTAAGCGCAAAAGGAAAATCACCACTGCAAAACAGATTATTTCTTTTTAAGCTTAACTTCTCCATAAAGACACGCAAGAAGTGAACTCAGAGAAACTGATCTCTTATCCTGAGCTCTTCAGAGGTTCCTAATGAGTTTAAAAATCATGATTCTTGGCTGATGGTACTCATCCTATTCATAACAGAAGCTGTTACTCTCATCACTCACTGCTTCTAACTTCCAAATTTATCAGCCCATTCAATTCTGCCTGTGTCAACCCCTGACCCTCCACTTTTTCTGTTGTTTCTTCCTAAGAGTATAGTGAAACTGAAAAAAAACCGATCAGGGCAAAGTCTGAGTTTTTTTCTATTTACTCCTGATTCTCCTTCTCTTTATGGGAACGTCTACTATGGGAATGACCCTTGAAGAGCTTATGCACAGTACCATGAAAATCATCCCCAACATACAATAACAAACCAGTCCCAAGAGAAGGGATGGGGATGAGAGGAGGTTTTTGGGGATGACATTATTATATAAATGACAACAAATTCACCATTTCAGATCATGATTTTGAGGAAAAATGGTTATGGCTGCTACAATCAATGTTAAACTCTTCTGTCAGCACAAGCTGGACAGTACAGATGCTAGGATGGACTTCTGAGGAAACTTGAGCAGAGACATATCTAAAATCTTCTTACAGTGACAGTTAAGAGAGAAGCACTGGAGAAAACAAAAGTGTGTCAGGAGCTTTATTTTAGCAGAATGTCCTTTATTGTATGGATGCCTACAGGAAACCATGATAGCCCTATTCTTTTATCCTCAGCCCCTAATGCACATTTAGGAAATTCTTATTCCAAGTACACTGCTCTACCAGTCTATTTGGCATTAAATACCTCTCATTATTAACTGTATACTACAGTTTTAAAAGCCTGAGGAGTATTTTTTTCCCCTCTCCCCCTTCCTCCCAAAAAAACCACACCACAAACCAAGGAAAGAGTTTAGTAAGTGTATAAGGGTAAGGCCAATAATTTTTGTCATTCATATTTGAGAAAATAGAATATAAGGAGAAATTCTCACATTAGAGCATAAGAGATAAACCATGAACAATAAAATGCATAAAAAGTTTCAGGACTTGTGGGAAGTGTCCCAGGAGGTAACATGACTACCATGGCAAGCAGGTCAGCAGAAGACAGAATGACTGTGTGATGAGCTATGCTGTAGTATTCTGCAACTTCACAAAGCACAGCAGCTGGTTTCTTAAGCTGTGTATTTTAGTACAATCATATTCTTTTACTTTACACTAAAAGCTTGTCCCAGCGCTACGAGTGACATCAAGACTCCTCTCTCCCAGGGAATACTGCATTCAGCAAGATGCACTAGTTCACTTGAACAAAGGCAAACCAGCCAAGTGGTGCATGTTTCCAGGATTCTCCTTCACTAGCCTGGAAGAACTAGGTTCAAGGATGGTTACACAGATCTGGTCAGCAAATGCATTTATGAAGCAGGATAATAACCAAAATGAGGGAAAAAGGCAGAACAGAGAATGAAACTGTTCTGAGTATCTCTGAGAACTTTGTCGGAAAAATGCAGACCTGTAGAAATGTTAAACAGAAATGTTTAACAATTTCAATAAGAAAAGTTATATATAAAAGTTATTATAATAAGAACCTTCCCATCAAAGGGAAAAAATGTAAAATAATTTCCCTCTCATATAATTGCCTGGAAATATTCACTCAAAGGTACTACAAAGTATAAGATAAGTTTAGTACATACTATACACGAGCAGCTTGATTTATTATTCTCTCTTCCAACAAAGTCACTGGAAGGTCAGTGACAAAAATCCTTATTTTTCTTGTGTCTTTTTAGCCATCAATCATATTGCTATCCTTAAGTCCAGCGAAATTACTATCAGATATTGCCTGTCAAAGTCCAAATGCATGAGAGTAAGGGCTAAGAGACAAGGTTCTTTTCTAGCTTAGCCATCTTGGAGAAAAATTGAAATATTGTCTGTCACTTGGGGAATAGCTGATTATGGGCTATACTGGAACCAGGTAACAAACAAACACCACAGAAATACCATGATGTCCAATCTTATGTCTGGTCTGAAACAGTCACCCTGTTTCTCTAGGTATGTCTCCAGTAGCCACCTGAGTATCTTAGCAAGCATGTACCTACAACAAAAAAATTCTGCAGAGGAATCTGGGATAGTTTTGACAAGTATCTTAACAGATAAAAAAAGTCAAATCAAACAGTATTGATGGATAAACAGTGGTTGAATGCATACTGATGTTCAGGTAAAACATTTCTCAATGGCAAGGTTAAAAAGTTTACAAAACTTCACCTATAGTGTCCAAAATTAAAGAATCCTAAGAGCTCATCTAGTCCCTACCCAAAGCAGACTCATACCAGTGCCATTCCTGACAGAAATTGGTCTAGTTTTGTTTATATAGGCCTCTAGCGATGGATATCCTAGGAAAACTACAATTTCAGTACTCCTCTGCCAAGAGACATGATAAAAAACACCATAGCTCTGTATAGCTCTGTAAATATTCACAGGAGAGTACCAACAGATCCATTTCATGCTCTAAAATGAATTGTTGTTCATGTAGCTTCATTATAAACCATATAAAGCAGACATCCCTGTTTATTGTATTTTGGATAAGAGCATTTTGATTGACATCATGGGTCATACAGAAAGCAGTCTAGAATTAAAACAGAGCCTCTACAAGCTGTGTCAAGGCCAGCTTTCTCCATACTGAGTCATTTAAAACACATGACTACAAAAGCAAAATTTAACCAAAAAGATCACATTTGAGACATTTCATTGCTTTATCCATTTTATATAATTGTCCTTACCCATAAGTTTATCAGCATGTCAGTCAATCTGTAGCCATTGCTACACAAGAGCATGTGTTAGAAACACAGCAGCACATGAGGTTTTTCTTATTATCAGTGTTCCTAATTTCACAGTTGCCTGCTGAGCTAAAGAGGAGAACAGGAGAACAGGAACATGGACTGGCAAAA